CACTGGAAACATGCAAAAAGAGTACTAAAATATTTGAGTTATACAAAATCATTTGGACTAATGTATGTAAAAAATGATTCAGATATTGTTGGATTTGTTGATGCAGATTGGGCGTCAGACACAGTTGATAGGCGCTCCTATACTGGTTTCTGTTTTATTTACTCAGGATGTATAGTTTCTCATGAGTGTAAAAAACAACAGACAGTTGCATTATCCAGCACAGAGGCTGAATACATGGCAATTTGTGAGGCCAGTAAAGAGGCAATTTTTCTTAAAAATCTTTTACATGAACTTGTAAATAGAAATGATGGGCCTATATTATTGTATAATGATAACCAAAGTGCCCAGAAACTTTCTGAAAACTGTATGTATCATAAAAGAAGCAAGCATATAGATGTTCGATTCCATTTTATTAGAGAGGCTGTAGAAAATAAATTGGTTAAAATTAAATATCTGAATACTACAGAAATGCCAGCTGATCTGTTTACGAAAAGTTTATGTAAAATTAAGCATAATAATTTTGTTAAGAAAATAGGTGTTGTTAATATAAAGGAATAACTGTGTTTCGATTATTTTAATAAGTGGTGGTATTATTGTATTGTATTAAAATAATATTGCAAAATGGTATGTAGCGCCATCTATTGGTTTTTTGTTTGTAACTCACTCCTCTAATGATTGGATCGGTTTGTAATAAATGTCAGTTAGTCTGTCAAAAGCTACTCACTGGTTTTATTAGAAACTCCATTCGTTGCTCTTTTTAAAAAAAAGTATGTTTTACGATGTTTCTGATACATATTTCAATACTGTACGTATATGTAAGAACAATGTTACTCTCAACAATCAAAAATACAAAACCGACAATCACCATATAACATTAGCACTTAATGAGTGAACCAAAAGTTTTAGTCCTTTCGAAATGGGTGCGAGGATAACATCTTTAATTTGAACAGTAAACAGCGTCCTGGCATAACTGTTGATTATGTTAAACAATGGCAACGCCTCGTATTTACATATCTACCTTGTTATTAACGCAGGGTCCCAGTTTGTAAATAAAAGAGCAAGTTGGGAGAAAAAAGGGCCGAAGTTTAGTTTGGGACATTTTGAGAATGATCTGTAATGAAGTTTGTGTTTTAAGTAGCTGGTTCAATGGGGATGATGACAGGGTATGAAAATTAAAAATATAATTAGTCCGTAAGTTAGGTAATGGAAAAATATTAGACACGTATTTTTTATTTTGTCGTATAATAAAACAATACTTATACTCGGAATTTTAATTCGATTCCAGATTTGACAATTTCAGTGTTACAACGTTATGACAAGTACTAAATAGTGACGTTGCAAAATTATTCGATATGGAAATGCAATTTGTCTGGATCGATTCTTCTCGTTTATAATTTTACTCTAGTAAACTAATTATATCAAGAAATTAAAATTTCTGAATCGATAATTTAGTTTTGACGATTAATTAACGATCTGAGACTTTTCTTTTATAATTGTGTGTGAAATAAATAAAAAAATGTAATCATGAAGGAACATGACAAATAAAACAGATAGATGTATTATGGTAATAAGTTATTTTATAAATTGTCGCCGTCATCGCTATCGCTATCCTGTCACTTTCTGTAACATTTATTATAAAACACACACACTGATTGTGTATCGATTTTTGTGTGCATCACTACACTATTATATGTGGTATCATTATTTCACAAAATGACAGTAGCTATTGTCAAATCTGGAATCTAATTAAAATTCTGACTATAGATAAAACGAATCAAAGTTAAGGAGTGGGGGCTAAAACGTCATTTCTTAGTATAAAATGTACTGAGAAGTGACGTCACGCGACATTTCAAATCAATATATCTTCGAAACTATTCGTTTCTGTGAGAAAAGAAAAAATACGTGTCTAATGTTTTTAAATAATCTTCCAGACGGACATTAAAATAAAGTTAGTAATCTACCCTATTGCACCTTTAGTTGTATGTTTTTTATTACACTAATATTATAGATGTGAAAGTTAATGTTATCGTATCATAGCGCAGAAACGATATTAAAGAGCTATTTTCAAATTACAAGGAAAAACCGTTGAGCAATTACTTTAATTCCTTCTCCGACAATGCAAGTATCATCAAGAAATACTAGAAACTGCAAAAATAACAGCTGTATCAACGTAAACAAATAAAAAAACAAAAATGGCGTCTTTTCTTTTCGCGCGCAAAAAGTATTGCAACGAAACTTTTTCTTTATATTTATTTTCTTCGTTCTACATTCAAATACTTTCTTAACGAACACGGTACTCGGAATAGTCCTTAAATTTTTTGCTCTTTTGTTTTTTTTTTCTTATAAAAAAGGAGTTTCGTTTATTTTGCAACTTGTTAGTTCATAAATTCATACCTAAGTAATATTTTATTTAGTTTCAGTCGTATTACCTAACAGTGCTAGGTCTTTCTTTTAAATTTGGAACCGCGGAAAATACACGAGTGTACTAGTTTTTATGTATAATTAAAACCTATATGATGTTTCAGATCACAATCTACCCCTATTTTAAATTTCATTCCAAACCCTTCAGCCATTTTTGCGTAAAAGAGTAACAAACACACACACGTACATCCTCATAAACTTTCACATTTATAATATTAGTAGGATTTTTTTAAGGGGGGAAAATCATCGAATGACTGCTCCCACCTAGGTGAGCCCGTTAGGTTTTCCGCGACAATATTAGTAGGATAGGATAATTACGATGGACAACAATACTATTAGATATCATAAATTATTATGGTTAAAATGGCATACAAATTAATTGGCTAGTTTCCTAGGTTTAAAATAAATTGTTTCAGCTTCTCATTGATTTAAACTTTGCAATTATTAATAGAAACACTTGGGCCATGGGGTCCCAGTGCACACTTTGTGTTTAAAGACATCGCCCGTAGGCTAATCGACTCTACACGTGACCAGAGGGCTGGCTTTTTCTTCGGACAGAAATAAGCATTGCCATTCAACGTGGCAATGCTGCCAATCGAAAGGTAATTGGGTAAATTACCTAAGTTTAAAATAATATTGTTTCTACTTTTCAATGTAATAAATAATTAAAAATAATCATACTCTCATCCATTGATTTGACAATTTACCTACGTTTAGATTTTTTTCACGCTAATTTAAAAATCGTCAAATCAATTGATGAGAGTATGATTATTTTTTAATTATTTATTGCATTGAAAAGTCGAAACAATTATATTTTATACTTAATATATAAAAAAATACCCAATTACCTTTCGGCTAGATCGTGACCATTGAATTAGCTTTTAATATTATAGTCAAATATAGCTCTTTCCTATTGAGAAAAAAGTAACTAAAGGATTGTTTTCATCATTGTCAATTACTAATATTGCTCAAAGGCCTGACGGTATATGGGTCAGGAAAGTCCATGAGTGCAGACCACGGACCAGAGAAGAAGCGTGGGCAGGCCTCCCGCTAGGTGGACCTACGACATCGAAAGAGTTGCGGGGAGTCGCTGGATGCAGGTGGCGAATTGTCGTTCGACTTGGAGGACTAAGGGGGAGGTCTATATCCAGCAGTGGACGTCTTCCAGTTATTGATGAGGATAATATTATAAGAGTTAATTTACTTTTAATGTTGTTTCTAAAGTAAAATCTATTATAGGAGCATAACTCGAGATTACATTCTGTTACTGAGTGGTAAATAATACCAATTCGCGCTAAACGGAAAATCAAACCCGAAATCTCATGCTTAACAATCACCCTGGAAACCATACGACCAACAAAACAATAAAAAATAATAAAGAACAAACAAAAATTACAGAAGTTGAATGACCTTTTATTTGTATCTCCGTACTGTTTATTTTAGAAATGATAATTTAAAACATTACGTGTATTTGTTTTCTAATGAAACAATAAAATTACTCTTGTAAACAATATATTTCAGGCTCAAAAGGGTGCTCTCAAATCCCGGTGTAAACATAAAATGTAATAAATAAATGAATTGTTGTACTTTTGTTTTGATGGGTATAAGGTACTACTTCCGCGCGGTTTCACTCGCTCTGCTCGGCGCCTATTAATCGTAGCGTGATATTTTATAGCCTATAGCCTTCCTCGATAAATGGACAAAAATAATTTTTCAAATCAGACCAGTAGTTTCGGAGATTACCACGTTCAAACAAACACAAAAAACAAACTTCAGCTTTATAATATTAGTATAGATAAGAGTGCTGGTCAAAACATAACATCACGCCTTTTATCCCCCAAGATACGCAGAGGTGCACATTACGGCACTTAATGCAATGGCATTATAGAGGTACAATGTAATACTTACAGTTCACTATTTATGTTATGAGTCCCATGTAATCGGGGGTGAGCCTATTGCCATATATCGAGTAAAAAACGTATGTTGTACAATGTGTCTGATACATATTTCAATACTGTACGCGTATGTGAGAACAATGCAAAGACACGCTTGACGCATTATACTAATTAGTAATTACTAAGCATAATGTTGATAATAAAAACAAAATCCTTTTGTCATTATTATGATAATGTTTATTCAAGGCCGGTAAGCATTGTACAGTCCACTTCGGAGCCGCGGAAGACTTAACGGGTTACCGGGGCTCCGGCTCGAAGTGCAGGAGTAGGAACGGGGTGGTTTTTAGTCAGTAAGAGTCTGGCACTCGCTCTCGCCTCACCCGGGCGGGAGAAAACATTCGATGATTTTCCTCCCTCAAAAAAAAAGAGTACAGTCTACTTATTAAGTAGGCAGTAAAGAAAAAAAAGTATGATGCAGTACAGAGACAGTACCCATTGGTCGGCTATTGAATCGACTAATGTGTAGTTTTAAAGGATTTGGCTTTGTTATAAAGCACTAGCTTTTGCCCGCGTTCCCGTAGGTTAAAAAGCCTATGTGAGCCTTCAGATCATAGTCTATATCTGTTCTCAATTTCATTAAGATTCCTTTAAACCTTTACTTTTACTTTTAAGTGTGGGAGAGCCATGCTTCGGCACGAATGGGCCGACTCGACCGGAGTGATACCACGGCCTCACAGAAAACCGACGTGAAGCAACGCTTGCGTTGTGTTTCGTCGTATGAGTGAGGTTACCGGAGGCTCATGTACCCTCCCCTTTCCCAATCTCCCCAATCCCTGAATCCCCAATGATCCTCAAACTCCTAATTCCCAAAAAGCCAGTAACGCACTTGTAACGCCTCTGGTGTTCCAGGTGTCCATGGGCAACGCCGATTGTTTACCATCAGATGATCCGTCTGCTCGTTTACCAGCTTATGCCATAAAAAAACCATTGTGTCGTAATTAAGTAACAAACATACACAAAAACGCTACGGACTCACGACGCGATTTTCCCCCGCGACCACTGCGGTGACGGAATTCACATTCATTTTAAAAACTCACGAGACCGTAGTATTCCTTGGTCCTGCAGCCACCGCTGTTGCGATAATCACTCGCCAATTTGGCGGTTGATTATCGCAAGACGGGTGGTTATACAATCAGTTGATTGCGATCGTCCGCCAACCGATTGCAGAGCGCGCAGGTGCAACACGCTGTGGCTGCACCGCGCCCGCCGGTTACAGGGGAAGCCGCAAACAATCATAACCGCCGCCAACTCAGTTATACAGTCTCTTCTTTGTGCCTTTAGGCTTAATTCATTCTGTCTCCTGCAGTAATTAACCGAGGGTAGTAGAAACTATAGTTTTTTCTTCTTCTCCTCTTATAATATCTTCTGATTCACTTCGTTGCGGGAACCAAGACTGTTACCCATGTCCCTGGTTCGCGCCGGACTTCAATGTTCCGGTGTTTTCATGGTTGTATTTACTGTAGATCCTGGCTTACAGGAGTTGCAGCGGTTTTGAAAGTTTGTGGCGGGCTTGTACCATTATATAAAAAAAAATCACAACCGCCGCGTGCATAAAACGCGTCGTGGAATTTCTTTAAATTTTCACATATTTGTATTCTATTGCGGGCCCGCAACCGCAGTGGCGCGGAACAAAACCGCTTCGTGAATCTTTAGCCGAACTTAAAAACTTTCGCATTTATAAACTTAAGTAAGAAGAAAGATGTCATTTAATATAATAAGAGCTGCTGTCTTTGTACTGAATATATTATTATATTCTTACCTGCATACCAATAATATTTGTTGACTGTACCTACATGTGGTTGGTCCGACCGCGTCATATTTTCATCTTTTATAAAAACCTTTTTTGGTTGACCCTTAATGGCTTTTATTATTGTTGAAGGTGACAATTTGCCGGAAATGGACTGTTTTAATCTTTTAACACAATAAAAGACTGTATCTTTATCGAATGATGGCTAGAATGGTTATGATTTTTTTTCATGGAATAAGCCGGTAAATGAGTAGAAAAATCACCTGATCGTAAGCAATCGGTGTCGCCCATGGACACCTGGAACACTAAAGGTGTTACAAATGCGTTACCAGCTTTTTGGGGATTAGGAATTTGAGGAATGTTGGTGATTCATGTTTTTTTCCCGTGTTGAATATAAGTGTATTGCAACTCTTTGATATTAACCTAATATCCATTTTTCCAATACACAATATACAAACAGAACTACAAAAACAAACAAATAAACAAAATACAAAACAAATGCAACAGATTTATCAAACAAAACAATATTTATATTTCAGTTGAAATTTGTGTAAAAACAAAAAAATCTATCAGATTTTATTCTGTTCAGTATAAATAATATTGTTTGCCGAACTAGTGGGCAGTTTTACACGAACTAGAACTATTGTATTTTGCAATAGGTTTTTTTAGTCTGGCAACATTTGTTTGAACCACAGATAATATAGAAAGAGTTTTATTTAGTATAGCTACATACTGTTCCGCTCAACCTGAAAATCAGTTTTTATATTTGAAACATTACATTTCACTTATATTACTTCCTTTTCATTTTTAAAGTCGATAAAATATTTGTTTTCATATGGAAATCATTAAAAGTATATTCATCGTGTTTGTATGAATTCCAATATTTATATAGGAACTCATTGGTATAAAACACTAGTTTCTGCCGTTGTTCCCGTGGAATAAAAAGCCTGTCTGTTATTTCACATGACATAACATAACATCACGCCTTTTATCCCCGAAGAGGTAGGCAGAGGTGCACATTATGCCACTGTACAATGTAACACCCACTTTTCACTATTTATGTTATGAGTCCCATGTAATAGGGGGTGAGCCTATTGCCATATACCGGGCACAATTCTAGACTCCGTGCTACTGAGATTTTTTTTAAAAACCCAATAATACTTTGCCCGACCCGGGAATCGAACCCGAGACCCTTTGCCCGACAGTCGCACTTGCGACCACTCGGCCAACGAGGCAGTGTTATTTCACATCATAAAAAATTATTTATAAATTTAAAAAAAGTACTTTTGCCTAAACATGTTCTAAACGTTATAATTAAGATTAATAAATACCTTATTAAGTTATTTCATCAATAACAATGGAACTGATGGTCTTTACCTGAAAAACAAAAGAACATATTGTTAGACATATAATTTGAAAAACTGATAACACTATGGGAATGTGGAAATCTAATCAATGAACCAACAAAACTATGTAACTAAAGAATTGTATTGTAAACCTGATTAAAAAAGAATAACCTATGGTGTTTCTTGCTCGTTCTTCTCCATAGGAATCTACGCCTTGGAATGAGCAAATAGCTTCACTTCTAAATGTTTTGTTGACGTTATCGCCTAATTAAATTAAACGACCTTGACTTTGACTTTGACTGTGACTTTGACTGTGGCTTTGACTTTGACTTTGACCTTGACCCTTGACTATAATAACCGTTTTCACTAACAACCCCTAAATCATCTTTTAATTAAGAGTTTAACTTAGCGTTAAGTAGCAGGTAACACCTAACTATCCCCTTACTTGAAACTACTGTTGGATGTCACTTAGGTACAATTAGTTGCGCAGGTGAGTTCGTTCATTCGAGTACCCAGTGACTCTCTCATTGTTTTCTGGGATTGACTGTGTGGTTTTAGTCGGTAAGAGTCCGACATAACCTGCTGTCTGACGCTCATTGTCTAGACAAAGGGTATCCATGAGGATTTCCACACATAAAAAAAAGGTACAATTAGTTGAAAACAAAAATAGCTTAAAGGTTCCCTAATATTTAGGAGAGATTAATAGAAAATAGTGTCGTGGTGGCCCGGAGGTTTAAGACGCCCGCTTCTCATGCATCAGGTTCGAAACCTACTAACGGCAAGTACCAATGTGACTTTTTCCGAGTTATAATTATGTACTTTCTAAGATTATTTAGACACCACTGACAAACGGTGAAGTAAAAACATCGTGAGGAAACCTGGACTTATAATTTCTAACTATAAGTTTGAAATCGCCAACCCGCATTGAGCAAGCGTGGTGATTAATGCTCAAACCTTCTCCGTGTGAGAAAAGGCTTTGCTCAGCAGTGGGCATTTATAGACTGTTGATGAATAGAAACTCCAGCCATCCATCAATGAATTCCATCATAAATTTTGTAAATTTATTCTTATTATAAAAAGTTTTCAATAAAAGAGTTTTGAACCCATCACTTTCTAGCCCGTGAATCACACCAAACCAGAAAATGAATAATTTAGTGTAAAACAAAGTTTAGACTAAAATAAATACTAAATTCTCAACAGTAGAGAAACAATCTTGTTGATTAGGTATTTGCTTTAAAAATAAAATAAAAACTTATTAAATGATAACGAAGTTTGTTAGCATATTCCAGTCGAAATGTTAAGGGTTAGTGGCGCAATGCGAGGTAAGAACAGAAGTGTCAAATCGGTTGAATATTTTTGTAAAGTTATTCGACTGAATTTTTATTGGAGTTAATCAAAGTTTATTATTTAATTTGTACATGATGGCATAGTCTGAGATGCTAATTTTTCAGTAACATCCATTTTCACTGGTTTATTTTATGAGTCGGGCACAATGAATAGGGTAATTTCCTAAATTTTATTTTAATGTCCGTCTGGTAGATTACTTTAAAACATTAGATACGCGTTTTTTCTTTTCTCATAAAATTAAATGATTTCGACGATATATTGATTTGAAATTTCGTGTGACGTGCGCTATAAAATGTACACATTGTGACATAACTACCTCCCAAACTTAACTCCATTTTATTTAAGTATTGTAGTTTTATACGAGAAAATAAAAAAATATGTGTCTAATACTTTTTTTTATCTAACTGACGGACTAATTAGATTTTTAATGTTCTTACCTTGGCAACTATCCTATTCCAAACTTCGTGTTAATGCTAATAAATTTTCGACAACTAAGGAATCGAACCCTTTGCTCGGCGATCGCACTTGGGACTTGAGACCATCGATGAGGCAGTTAAAACTTTACAAAATGAGATAAAGAGTATACTTAGATTCATTAATACATTCACAAAAATTTTCTCTCAAAATAATAAAAACCTTCCTGAACCTTCTGCCACATACCTGTACAATGAAACTCATCCAAGATAAGCCTGTATTCGGTAATTATGACAACAGGGCCGGATTTACCGAGCGTGGGACGTTAACTTGGTTACCATGGGAACCGCAGGATTACAACTGTTGTCTCAAAATGTACTGAATCGTGTGACAGAACATTGGAAGATAATTTTTTTTGATTTTGTTTTTGTTTTATCAACCGACTTCAAAAAAGGAGGAGGTTCTCAAATTCGACTGTATTTTTTCTGCTCATTTAAAGTCAAAGTCAAAGTCAAAGTCAACGCATGTATTTATACCATAATTTGGTACTTTTGAAACGTCAACAAATACAAAATAAATAATAGTCTGTCAATCAGTCCGTCAGTGAAGCTACGTGAAGCTAGGTGCTCATTCCAAAATGTAGATTCGAATGGAGAAGAATGGGCAAGAAACTCCATTCGTTACACTTTTTAAAAAAGTCTCATAGTAAACCAGCTTACAACTTTAAGTACCCCACAAAAGGTCTAGTAGTATAAATGATCACAAAATGTTCCAACCCATTCAGTACTTAGCAAGTTTTGCGGTTATCCGCTAACCCTTAAGCTCTTTAATCCATAATTAACACTTCTATGTATCACAAACAGCTCTCTATTAGATA